CCACTGGACGGTGTTTGAAACCTCAAGGTGTCATACAAACAATACCAGGTAAGTCCAAGAGTCCCCTCACACGGCTCAGAGCAGTCATGACTCAACCATTGCTCAGAATGGACAGACCGTGCTTCAACAGGTCAATGATTGATTACAGAGGCATGGTGACTGGCCCATTGACGGACTTCGAAACCACCCTCAATCAAAGTGGAACGCAGTTTGTTGACCATGGCTTTAGCTTCAAGAGCAGAAGGTAGACTTTGTAAGCAGTTGTCCATGTAAAAGGCACTCAGGACTGAAGTCTGAAGATCCGAATGTTCTGCAGCAAGACTCTGAGCATGCTTTTGGAGCGCGTATATGGCACAACATGGACTGCACGTAGTGCCAAAAGGCAAGACCTGCCATTCATGAACTTTAGGGGGGATGTCTCTCTTCATGCTACGCCAAAGAAAGCGTAACAGGGGCCTATCAGTGGGTAGCAAGCGGATTTGATGGAACATTCCTTTAATATCCCCACTGATGGCAACCTGATGCTCTCGAAAACGGATGAGGACTCCAAGCAAGGAAGGGCCTAATGTTGGACCTGGCAGCAGGTAAGCATTAAGGTTTTCACCGTGGTACTGGTAAGAACAATTAAACACAAGGCGGTGTTTGCCATTGTGCTCCACTAAATGATGGGGTATACACCAGGGGCCTCATTTATAAAACTGTGCGTAGAATCCTTACTAAAAGTGTACGTGCGCCCGAAAGCCAAAAATGTCATACGCAAAAAAATATTCCGACTTATAAAACCGTGCGTACGCCAGAACCTGCGCAGAATTCACTTTATAAATCCCAGTCAGCGGAAGATTGTGCGCACATGCGTCTCCACCCCGAAATAACCATATATGGAGATTATAACGCCTAGTTTTACTATGCATATCCTCATCTGCATATCATTTGCATATGATTATTCATCCACATGGTAACATGTTTAACGGTACAAGACATTAGGAAAATATGAAATACAGATGTGCCGTCACATTACATTAATAAAAATCATTTAGTAGCCCATCCTTCCCTTGTTTTTTAAATAAATAAAATAAAATAGTGCAAAATGCATTTCAGAGAAAGTTTTTCTCAATCTTTTCCACTGGCCAAATAGTATTTTAATTGATTTATATTTTTAATGGAAACAGATAGACCTTGTTGTGCATTATTTGCACGAAACCATTTTCTCAGACAATCTGCTATCATGATAAGCAATTATCTATGTTAACATATTAAAACACAGACAGCATGCCAGAGGAAAAGTGTTCAAAAGCATCACATCCACAACAAATATTTATATTTATTGAATATAAAAATGTTGTAACTTCTCAGTAATGATTTCATGTTACTGGCCGTAATTCAGAACACAATTCCAAGAGGATGGCTCTTGGGAATCGAAATCGGCTCATGAGCCAATCATCATCATGAGCAAGGAAATCTTCACGGTCTCTGAAAACACGCTCCCTCCGTAGAGCGTCATTAGCAAGGTCTTCTAACAGCGCTAGAGCATCCATTATGATGATATGTTATATACGCACATACCTTTTTATAGCCCATTCATTACAAAAAAATAGTATTTGCACCTAGTTAAGAATGCTGATAATGATAATTCAGGTTGATGCAATTTGATTTATTGGGTGATGTAATAGGATAATTTAGAAGTTTTTCATTTTAAATAGTTATTGCTATTTGGGCCAGTTGGTGTTGCCAAAACACATTCTCTTCTAAAAGAGTACGTACGCACGGTCAAGAGCATCCTTACGGTGCGCACTTATTTACGCCAAGTTTATTTTGTATAAATCCCGATATGTGCGTGGAAAAATGCGTACGCATATTTCTATGCCCATTTTGTGCGTACGCAACGTTTATACATCAGGCCCCAGGACTCATGCAGAGGAGCAAACAGTCAGCACAAAGAGAGACACACTAGTGAGGTTGATTGGTAATTATCCTCAGGTGAAGGAAGTTCCAGGAAGTGGGCGTGTCTCCCAATAGAGTGACTTATTGGGATTTTTAACACTACCATTTGTTTTTTGATTTTGCGTAACTGCTACATTTGTAATCATAACGTCTAAACAATTGAAATAACACACATATTGCATATATAAATAACAAGAATAAACAGTAAAAATACAAATACAAGTGTATTATTTAATAAACATTTTTATTTTTGAATTTTGGAAGGGTAGGCAGTGCCTAGTTTGCCTACCCAGACCGCACGTCACTGCAAAAGCTCAATCAGTTAATCGCAGCCTGAAAACTTGATACCGGCACCGGCCTACACAGACTGGAATTTGAGGGACATCAATACAGCAGTCAGCCTCATCACAGTGAGCTGATGTGTTGCTGACTGGGACTTGGGGGACGTCCACACTGCAGTCTGCCACATCTCGGATTGGAACTCGAGGGACATCAACACAATAGTCAGCCACATCCAAGCCTGGAGCTGATGTGGTGCTGACTGGGACTTGGGGGACGTCCACACTGCAGTCTGCCACATCTCGGACTGGAACTCGAGGTACATCAACACAATAGTCAGCCACATCCAAGCCTGGAGCTGATGTGGTGCTGACTGGGACTTGAGGGACGTCCACACTGCAGTCTGCCACATCTCGGACTGGAACTCGAGGTACATCAACACAATAGTCAGCCACATCCAAGCCTGGAGCTGATGTGGTGCTGACTGGGACTTGAGGGACGTCCACACTGCAGTCTGCCACATCTCGGACTGGAACTCGAGGGACATCAACACAATAGTCAGCCACATCCAAGCCTGGAGCTGATGTGGTGCTGACTGGGACTTGGGGGACGTCCACACTGCAGTCTGCCACATCTCGGACTGGAACTCGAGGTACATCAACACAATAGTCAGCCACATCCAAGCCTGGAGCTGATGTGGTGCTGACTGGGACTTGAGGGACGTCCACACTGCAGTCTGCCACATCTCGGACTGGAACTCGAGGGACATCAACACAATAGTCAGCCACATCCAAGCCTGGAGCTGATTTGGTGCTGACTGGGATGTACGGCCTGAAAACTTGATACCGGCACCGGCCTACACAGACTGGAATTTGAGGGACATCAATACAGCAGTCAGCCTCATCACAGTGAGCTGATGTGGTGCTGACTGGGACCTGGGGGACGTCCACACTGCAGTCTGCCACATCTCGGACTGGAACTCGAGGGACATCAACACAACAGTCGGCCACATCCAAGCCTGGAGCTGATGTGGTGCTGACTGATTCCATTTTCAAATTCTAAATAACAACGCTGCAATAAATGCCAGTAGAAAATTGTCAGCAAAGTATGAAGAGAATGTGCGAAAGTGTGCTTTAATTGACCCGCGATTGTGACGTCACGTTCTATAATGCATTCCAATGCAGGCTTAGCGTCACTGGCCATCGTCACTCTGTGGGCGGGGCTTATGCGTAACTGAAAATTTGATGTGGATTAAACTGCGTTTAGGTCTATCTGAAATTACACAGGTTTAATCATGTTTTTAATATTGATGTCTGCCCTCTATTTTTACAGTCTATGGTCCTTGGTCCAGCCTGAAAAGAGACACATAGCAGCAGCACGTTACGTTAACGACTAAGCTGGGTCTATTAAACATTGGACAAGTAACGTTAAGCTAATAGCTATAGGCTACGATCACAGCGCGAACATTTAAATATGCATTTGCGCTGCCGCTGAAGAAAGCAAGGTTATGCCGTCAAACATACACTGAACTCTTGGTTAATTAAACCAAACATTGCTTACTCGAGGTACAGGTTTAAAAGTTTAAGTAGCCTACACGTCCGTCCGGGAATAACATCAGCCAACCTAGTTCACGGTTAACTCAAGAAAAAGCGAGCCGTTCTATTCGCTCTGTGCACGAGAAAAATGCTAACTTCCGGCTTGAGGGTGGAAATTGGGTACTTCGTTTCCGGTTGCCGTCTTGTTTACATCAGTGGACCGGCGTTAAGTTAGTTTAATCGTTCGCAATGGACCTAAAACATAAAAAAACCCGATTCACTTTTCAAAGGGCAGTCGGTGGTAATACCATAATTCCTCAAATAAAAGCTGGGGCCTTTATTTACCTAAACTGCAGAAGGTAACAGGCTTTTATTAGAGGCAGGCGCTTTATTTAAAAAAAAATCTAAATCAAATTTCCGTCTGGGTTCCATGCTCCTCAAGACAATTTCGTTTTCATTAAAGTTGTTGAAAAGACCGTTACACTAGCAGCACTAAATTATATGTGTGTTACATCTATTGTCTACTACCATCTATTGGCTGTACGTTACGATGAACTTGAATGCATATTAGGGGATGTTTACACCTGGCCACTTCATGTGTTTTCTCAGATCGGAAAGCTCTCTGATTTATCAAAACAATTCTACTTAAATCTGCTCACAAATGCGTTTTCGCAAAACGGATATAAATCTTCAATTCCCACGCTATATGCGGATTTAATGGAGTGGACGTCACCGAAAGCAACAGATATGAGCTGCATTTGATAGATCAGCTCATTTCTAAATCAAAAGACCGCAATAAGCGAGAGCGGCAACAAGCCTGGTAAGATCATTTAATTCGTTTCTTTACTTTTAATGATGAGGAGAATTGTCTGCGACTTACTTTCACTTTAATTTGCAATAGTTTGCACGTTGGCTTTATGGATAGATGCTCGGCTGCCGTGATGCGTGTTGCAGTAGCGTTGTCACATCTTGCTATAACATTACATAGCCTATAACACGCTCTCACACTTATTTTTTAGCGTTTTTGGGAGGAGTAAAATTTAGATACGTGGTTTCAACAATCAGATGCATTTGATTTACACTTGTGCAGTTTCGTCTGGAATCTCGTCTCAGATCTCCTCCTGAAGAAGTGGTTTGAGCGATCGGATTTAAATTGTCTCGAATGTGCTTCGGATGGCATTTACATGGTCTTTTCACGATCAGATCACAGAACACGCATGAAGTGGACAGGTGTAACATCTAGTAGTGGGAAGTTCGGATCATTTTACTGACTCGGATCTTTGAGTCTCGTTCAGCAAAATGAACGAATCTTTTTTCGAGTCATTTCGTTCATTTCGTTCATTTCAGCATAATATAATTAAAATGGCATGTTAAATATCCCAACACATCTAGAACTTACGAAAATGTTGATTACATTTGTAAAAAGAATAAAAAAAAATTATAGGGTAATGCAGCCAAAGCCAAATTATAAGAAACCGAAATTTTTATGAATTGATTAGTTGTTGGGTTTTAAGTTCAGGCTATTGCAGTCTGATTCTGTTAGTTCACCTCACCTCCTCATCCGAGACGTTCTTTCCTTTGCAACTTCATATTTATCAGGTTTGTTCTCCTCCTTTTGTGTCTCAAAACGTTAGTTGTCGACTCGTCAGTGTCTGACTCTGATCTGTCTGCTGGGCCGTGCCGTGTGTGATACAGCAGGGCCGGAAAGAGTAATGATTAGAGTTGTGACGTTCGCGAACGAACCGATTCTTTTGAACGGCTCATAAACATGAACGATGGGAGCCGAATCGCGGCTGGAGGGGAGCCGTTCTTTCTGTCGTTCTTTTTTCATGCGTGTTTCACACAGATGCACACAAATTAGCTCCTCAGTTATAGGGGAAGGGGCGCACCCAGCGCAGGGGTGCTACTGCCTAACAGCATGATGATAGTTGTGCACGCGCGCGCATCCTTTACGTGAGTACTCCAGTGGGAAAAAACCCTACGTGCTGTCATTGGGTAGGAGCAGAGCCAATGACTTATGCCGTCACATGGTTACTCCAGTTAAAAAAAAAAAAAAAAAAAAAACACTAAAGTAACACTAAGTTCCTTTGTAAATAAATACAAAGGAACTGCTTTGTATTTATTTACATTGCATTTTGTGTTCATGTTATTGTATCTACAGTATATATTTACAACTTTAAATAGTTTTTGTTTTTTATCAAAATGTTCTTGTGGTATTGTATGAATAACATAAGTCAACATAGCTTTACACATACACATACTTTGTACTAAAGGTAAATCCAAAATAGTGATATCACTTTCTAAGCAGAGGGATGTTGTGCAACCCTATGGAATATAGTCCACACATGACAAATGAGGTAATAATCAATATTTCAGAATAATTCAAACTCAGATATTGGTGTGTGATATCTGAGTTTTAATTAATTGACTACAAATCTCACCTCATCATTCCTCCCAGTGATTATTTCCAGGATAAACTGAGATTCCCCCAAGCTGGCTTCTTTAAACTGACTTAATATTTAAAAAGAGCCAAAAGAGCCGTTCTTTTGAACGGCTCTTTGAAAGGAACGGATCGCAAAGATCCGGATCTCCTCAAAGAGCCATAAATCCCATCTCTAGTAATGATTAGTTCATCTTTCGAGTCTCGAGTTCGGGTTCGGCCGGGTCCGAGTCTTTCGTTCTTCCTGTCAGTCCCATAGAGGCTATGCTGTCAGTACCGGAAAGAGTAATGATTAGTTCATTTTCTTCGAGTCTTCGGGTTTGAGTCCTTCGTTCTTTTGTCACGTGACCGCTGGTATCTCGCATCAAATACAATATTAGATTCGTATTATTGACTGCGTCTGAATGTATATTGTTTTATATTTAGGAATTAAAATACAAAATATGTGAAATAAACATTATCTGAAAAATAAAAGTTCCATCTTATTATTGTCCCTGTCCGTTTCTTTAAATGTTTCTTGTGCATCTGTGGTGTGTTTTATTATATATTATACATTAATTAACTACTATTATATTATACATTAACTACGTGCTTGTTTGTAAAAAGGTTGTGAATTAGTAGGCTATTCAATACGGTGACAAGTCACGTGACAAAAGAACGAAGGACTCAAACCCGAAGACTCAGAAGATGAACTAATCATTACTCTTTCCGGTACTGACAGCATAGCCTCTATGGGACTGACAGGAAGAACGAAAGACTCGGACCCGGCCGAACCCGAACTCGAGACTCGAAAGATGAACTAATCATTACTCTTTCCGGTACTGACAGCATAGCCTCTATGGGACTGACAGGAAGAACGAAAGACTCGGACCCGGCCCGAACCCGAACTCGAGAGAGATGAACTAATCATTTCCAGTACAGATTCAGAAACCATCTGTTGCGCAATGCGCATGCGCGATCAACACAAAATGAACGAATCACTCTCTGAGACAACTCGGTAGTCCCGAGTCATATTAAAGATTCGTTCAAAATGAACGAATCGTTCATGAACGACACATCACTAGTAACATCTCTTCAATGAAAGTCATTTAGGAGATTATCCACACTAATTTTCCCCCGGCCTTTATTTGTCCGCGTTGATCACGCACCCGGCCATTATCAGAGGCCCGGCGTTTATTTGAATACCGGTTTTTATTTGAGGAATTACGGTAACCAGGCGCTGCTGCATTGTGAAAAGTAAACAATGTTTAACGTTACTTCTACGTCGTCCATCAGGCTACCGGAAACTAGACACCCCCTATCGGTTTCGCAGCCGGAAGTAGCATATGCTAACGTGCACATAGTCTATTCTTTATTCTTCTTCTTTTGTTTAATGCCGATTTACTTGGTAAATATATCGCCATCTATTTGGTGGTTGTGCACTTTTTCAATCTTTTCGTTTAATAATCTTTAATCACTGTGAATAAGAATTATATTGTTTGCTTGATGCTAATTATATAATAAAAAGATAGACCGATTAAACTACAGTCTGTGCTTGCAAAGATAACATGACTGTAAAGTAAAAAAATATGTTTGGTCATTTTGCTTCCATATTGCTTGAAAGGTAAAAGATATATCATATGTTTTTATTATAGAAACACATCATAGCATAGAAAACGCCCTGTTGCGAAAAAAAGTCTGAATGCAGATCAACATGATAATTATTTATACTGTACATAATACTGTATACATATATAGGCCTATAAATACAGTATAGTAGAACAAAATTCAAAATTTTGGAAAACCTTAACTATTACTATTTATAATATTGTGTGCAGTCTATCTATCCCACTGGACTTTGTTTTCAGTTTGCAATGCTTCCATGGTGGAGTTTGTTGTCATGGTTTCAGATTAGTTGTCATTCAGTTTAGGTGTGTGTCATTAATCCTTGTTTGCATGTGTACCAAAGTTCCTGTTTCTGTTCATTGCTGTGTTGTCTCGTCTGTGTCTAGATGTGTTTTAATGCTGCTCTCTTTGTGCTGCTTTATGCTATACGTGTGGATTTATTAAAGACTGGCTTTCATCTTCATCTTTGTGTTTATGTACTTTCTACAACATCAGAGCTGAGGGAAGCCCGTTTGACCAGGTGTGCGAACGGCTGTAGCATCCATCGACGCGGGAGTCCCAGTGGAGTTCGAGGGGATGGGAGCGAGCCGCCACTGAGAGTCTGGGCCGGATTATCCAATGGGCATTATGGGCACGGGGCCAGGGGGCAATGCGCACTTGGGGCCCAAGCGAGGGGAAGACCTTTTTTTTTTTTTTTTTCAATGACTAAGTGTAAATAGCCTGTCTAAAAGACAGTCCACTTAACATCTGCAGTACTAGTGAAGCGAGTTCGAAATCACCTTTTTTGCCTAACTCGATCTTCTTCCTTTTCCCATCACGTCTCAGATCGGAAAGACATTTACTTTCAATAAAAATTAAGAAAATATTTGAAAAGTGAAAATAAAGGGCCTAATGACTGTTTATAGGTTAGGGTTGGAAGGGCTTTATTGTCCCAATAAAACTGCATTCATTTAATATAGTCCTTTACGCTCTATGTTATTACTACATCCTGTTAATGTACAACAATACTGAGGTTACTGATCAAAATATAGTAAATCACCCTTTGAAAGTAAATAAAAATTGTATCAAATACATGTTTACACCAGTAGGTGGCGACAAGTGACTGTTTTTGTATTTGTCATTGAATCATTCATTAAGAGATTCGTTCAAAATCACTGATTCACCCAGTAATGAAGCAATTGATGTCTTTATGAGTGAGTCATTGAATAATTTATTCAAACTGATTTTTTTTAATTATTCAAATGAATTAAATAGTTTTTTATTAATGGACTGCAGCAAATAACATTTGGTCAGAACCTCTAGTAAATACATTAGCCTACATATTATTTTGTTTAGTTGTCTATTAAGAATCGTGGCTGAAATGTGATGTTTGAAAACAAAAAAAATGTGATTCTCAAGTTGTTGACACTCTCATCTACACAGAATAATGGCTGCGCTAATAGAGAGAAAATGTTAAGTTAAATGTCATGCAATAAGCACTGTACTGTACTAATTTAACCACACAAACACTTGGATATGTTCCTGATAATAGCCAATTACCAATATAGATAATTACCATGTGGACCAGCCGTGTTAATGATCTGTCCGTCACGGACTGTGTGACTTTTTTTCTTGTGACAAACTGAATAAACAAAATTTGGTCAATTAAGCCTCTTCTCGTCAACCAACGTTTCGTTGAATATTAGGGGACAGCCCCAGGAAAGAGTATCACAAACTATCATTACTAATAAGGTCATCTAAGATCAAAACATTATAAAAGCATTAAAAAATGAAACAAAAGGTATGAAGCGATTCTCAGATAGTTTAATATAAGCTTCCAGAAGTTCCCAAATAAATCTAGTTTGTCATTGATGAATCGCTGTATAGGCTATCTTTAAATATATAATGTTCATCAACTAGCATCAAATGTTGGTAGCATGTCTAGTTTCCACCTCTGGAGAATCCATGTTTTTGCTGAACCGTACATGAAAGAGATAGACAAGCATGAACCCCCAAATTGGCCAACAAAATATCGGGCTGAAATATGAATCCTGTGAATTTTACAGCATGTCACAACAAATGAATCAGCGTAGCTTCTGCAGATTTGCATTTATTGCATTTGAGAGTTAGTTCATCCAAATATGAAAATGGTCAAACCTATAAAACTTTTGTTCATTTTTGAAAAGCAAATGAAGATGTGACCATGCTGCTCTAACATGGGCCTTCAAGAGTCCCAAAACCTCCTCTCAATTAACCCGGTGGACTCTCAGGTTGCAGCAGTTCAACTTCCAAGTACATCACAGGAAAGGATGTCTCAACCTAGGTCCCAATGCCTTGTCACGAGTCTGTCAGTCTGTGGAAGGAGACGATGTGCACTGTTTGTTTGTTCTGTTTTGTATGATACATAATTACAAGTAATCTTTGTGAAATTGAAGATCTTACCTTGTGACAAGCCATCCTTTTTCCAGAGGGTCTTCTTGGGCATATACAGGTCGTGTCTGCCAGGATAGTAAAGCAACATTTTGACTAAGTATTCATTAGCATGCTAGAAATTATTTGATGCTATTGATTCACAATGGTGGATTCCATTACATGATGCTTTGTAACACCTTGACTCATTCAAGTCGAACAGCTTCTGACTCGTCATCAAAGTTTGAGACCCACATTACAGCTCTGAGGAATAATACATACCAGAAAAGGACGTTTATCCCGCATTGGTCAGGATTTCGCCAGAAGCTGGATGATCTAGGGAACCCTGGGGCCTTTGTTTGCAAGAATTAGCAGACCGATCTCCTGTGGAACGGGTTCAGGATTACCCTCCTAGAAGAAAGACAATTCTAATGATCTTACATGGAGAAAAGATGTAGAACACTACTAAACTACTGACAATAGCCGTTTGTCTCTATGAAAAAATGGACTAAGAGAAACAGAGTACTTACAATGTCGATCCAATGAATCTATACCCACGTTATCAGCGAATTTCAGCGCCACCTGATCAACAAAACACAAAATTGATTTTTGTTAGAATTAGTTACAATGTGTGTGCAGAGTTTATATTTCAGTCATTATCCTTGAATAGACATGTTCAGTTTCATGAATTTAAATTCTAAGCATGTAGAGCATGTCTAACAATTTAAACAGATTTGCCCTAAGTAGTGAACATAAGATACACTAAGGAGAGTGAGACAAGTGTGATACCTTAAGGCCATCTCTCAAGCGAATCCCAGCATAAACGCTTCCTCACCGAGCATCCTGCCGATTTCATAGCTGCAGAAACCGACGTCTGTTAAAAGAAAAATAGGAGGAGTTGACATGAGTAAAGACAGATATAATATCACAACACAAGTTTGTCTGCATTGTGTTATGTTGGAGTCATGACAGTGAATTTACTAATAATCTCATTGCTTCAACTGAGGTGATACAGTGTCCCCTGTCGGTCCGACATGGGGGACGTTGACACTACAGTCTGTAGCAAAACACGTATGTCATTGTAGGCTACCATGTAAACATTGTAACATGTCACTAAACTTAATAAAATTCTGTTAAGTTACCAAATGTTTTGACAATCACAATTACACCTATTGTGATGCAAGTTTTTTTTTTTAACATCTCCCCAATCCATCCGTTTCTCTTGTGCAATTAAAATATTGTGATAATACCGTATACCTTGATAAAAGCTCAATCAGTTAATCGCAGCTTGAAAACTTGATACCGGCACCGGCCTACACAGATTGGAATTTGAGGGACATCAATACAGCAGTCAGCCTCATCACAGTGAGCTGATGTGTTGCTGACTGGGACTTGGGGGACGTCCACACTGCAGTCTGCCACATCTCGGACTGGAACTCGAGGTACATCAACACAATAGTCAGCCACATCCAAGCCTGGAGCTGATGTGGTGCTGACTGGGATGTACGGCCTGAAAACTTGATACCGGCACCGGCCTACACAGATGGGAATTTGAGGGACATCAATACAGCAGTCAGCCTCATCACAGTGAGCTGATGTGGTGCTGACTGGGACTTGGGGGACGTCCACACTGCAGTCTGCCACATCTTGGACTGGAACGCGAGGGACATCAACACAACAGTCAGCCACATCCAAGCCTGGAGCTGATGTGGTGCTGACTGGGACTTGAGGGACGTCCACACTGCAGTCTGCCACATCTTGGACTGGAACTCGAGGGACGTTGGCCCTATAGTAGGCCACATCTTGGACTGGAACTCGAGGGATATTGGCTCTATAAGAGGCCACATCTCGGACTGGAACTCTATAGTCAGATGTGGCACTGACTGTAGCTTGGAGGACGTCAACACTCAAGAAACAGCTCAAAGAGTTGAGGACGTCGGCACCCCATTCCGACGAATCTCCGAATAAGTCCTGGAAGGTGTCGTCACTCCACTCGTCATCGACTTCAGCATGACCAGGTTCCTCTGCAACGCTGAGGACTTCAGCCTCACTGGTACTGGTGACATGCTGAGAAGTCTGATCTAAAGAGGGAAATGATATAACCAAGAGTTGGTTTTAATGAAATACTATTAATAAAAGATTGCATAACCGTATTCATTACTAGACACTAATATTGCTGCAACTAAGCTTGCTGTAAATTATGAAGCGAGTTTTTGGGGCATTCACACAGGTCTAGTTCGTGCATTCTGCTTTCTCAGTTGTCGGTAAGTGAGCACAGGCAGAAATGTTCTGTTCTGTTTAAGTGTCAAATTAAAAATAGTTCAAATTTCAAAACATACACCTAGACCCCTGCATTAAGTTTCATTTAGTTGTGTGTGTGTGTGTGTGTAAATTTTAATTGGGCCATCCAGATGTTGCTTGGTAACCATACATGCAAATGTAGAATTCATTAATTTGCCATCTGATTAGCACAACATCTTCATTTTCAGACAATGAATTTGGCCTACTGGGCAAACGTCATGCGGCATAATTATAATTCGAGAGCAATTTCACCTTCAATAAAATTTGAGGTAATACGAAGGTAATACATTTGAATGTCTGTTAAAGGCATTCACGCATTTGTCATCAAAGGTGTGTAGTTTACATTCTATGTCAAGTATAATTATGTTACTGGTTCTCTAGTAAAAGTTTTCAATTAATAGTTAAGCATTATTATTATCTATAAGACTTTAAAAACAGAACTTTACATATTCTACATATACCAATAACATTGACATGTCTGGTCCTCTTTCTTACCTTGACTTGAGCTGGTCTTATTGGTTTTTGCCTTCCTCTTGCCTTTCTCCTTTTTGTGTAAATTGTCCACACTGTCAGAAACATCTACACATTTAACACAAGAAAAGTGTGATCCCATTTTCAAATGCTAAATAACTATGCTGCAATAAATGCCAGTAGAAAATTGTCAGCAAAGTATGAAGAGAATGTGCGAAAGTGTGCTTTAATTGACCCGCGATTGTGACGTCACGTTCTATAATGCATTCCAATGCAGGCTCAGCGTCACTGGCCATCGTCACTCTGTGGGCGGGGCTTATGCGTAACTGAAAATTTGATGTGGATTACGTTTGTTACGTAAACTGCGTTTACGTAGCCTATCTGAAATTACACAGGTTTAATCGCATTTAATGTAAACTCTTTGTAATAATGATGTCTAGCCTGAAAAGAGACTGAGACACATATTGTATAGCAGCAGCACGATTAATTAAAAGATCGCGATCTCGATTCAAACAAACACACGATCTTACTTTAACGACTAAGCTGTGTCTATTAAACATTTGACAAGTAAGCTAGCAGCTAATAGCTATAGGCTACGATCACAGCGTACATTCAAATATGCATTTGCGCTGCCGCTGAAGAAAGCAAGGTTATGCCGTCAAACATACACTGAACTCTTGGTTTAATAAACCAAACCTGGCTTACTCGAGGTATGCTGGTTCTAAACACTCGAACGGGAGTAACATCAGCTAACGTAACCTAGAGTATGTTGTTCACGGTTAACTCACAAGTCACAACAGGAATCGACGAGTCACCATGGAAATGGACGAAAGCGCGCCATTCTACTTTCTTCTTCTTTTGTTTAATGGCGATACTTGGTAAATATATCGCCACCTATTTGGTGGTTGTATTTCATTTTTCAATATTTTATTTTAATAATATTTAATCACTGTGAATAAGAACTATATTGTTTGTTTGATGCTAATTATATAATAAAAAGAAAGACTGATTAAACTAAGTCTCTGCTTGCAAAGATAACATGGCTGTGAAGTTCATGTTTTATGTTTGGTCATTTTGCTTCCATATTGCTGGAAAGGTATAAGATATATCATATATGTTGTTATTATAGTTCACATTATGCATAGAAAACGTCCTGTTGCGAAAAAAACCCCCTCTGAATTCAGATTAACAATGTGTGAGATGATAATTATTTATACTGTACATATACTGTATATAGGCCTATATACTATAATACAGTATAATAGAAAAAAATCCAATGTTACCTTATTTTAACAGTGCTTTTTTATATATCGACATTACTATTTATAATATTGTGTGCAGTCTATCTATCCCACTGGACTTTGTTTTCAGTTTGCAATGTTTCCATGGTGGAGTCTGCTGTCATTGTTTCAGATTAGTTTTCATTCAGTTTAGGTGTGTGTCTTTAAAGGGGTCATATAATGCCATTTTTGTACAAGCTAATATGATTCTTTAGGGTCTAAATTAAAAGTTTGTAATATACTTTAATTAAAAATTCTCATTAGTATTGTAAGAAAACACTTATTTTACCTGGTCAAAAACAGCTCTGTTTTGAGCACGCCGTTTCAGGGCATATGACTTTAAATGATAATGAGTTTTGCTCACCCCGCCTCTCTGTTCTGTGTACACCGTTTGTAACACAATAACACAATAACCACGCGTTGTTCATTATAAACGTGGGATTATGAATTATATTGAGAACGTTGTACATAGAAAACATGCCGTAATGTACCCTGAGTGTAAACCGACGCATTTATCGTGAAGCGTGCAGCTGGCGATTTGCAAAGATTATATAAATATTAATATAAAGATTAATAAAACGTTACACTCACTTTAGTTCTTCTGAAGGTTCAGCAGGAACACGAATAGCTGGTACCGATCCTTTATTCAGGTGCAGCTTCTCAGCAAAACCAGCTTTACACTGATCCTCGTTTATAAAGCAGTCCACTGAGAAATGATTCGCGCAAACATGAGAGCATTGACGTTGCTCGTGGGGAATATTCCCTTCGAAAACAAACTCAGCCACTGCGTCTTCAGCGGTTCGGATTTAGGAACATTAAAATGACTGCTGTGTTCGTTATTACACCCAAGAACAGAACACCACAATCGCTTAGACGCCATTCTGCTCATAGACAGTGCTCCAGCATATCAACAATGACCACGCCGGTCCGCGCAGACTATGATTGACAGCTCTCACGAGCGAGGGCGGGTCTGTGTTGAAACTCCTGTGCTGACTCCTGTCAATCAACAATCGCGGGAGGGGCGTCCGTTTTATTGACGTCACAAAAACGAACGGCTCAATTTGAGGCAGGGGAAAACCTATAAGGAGATTAAAACAAAAACACTGGATTGATTTTTATCATTAGATGATGGTTGTGTACAGGCACTGCCAACACACATTTCAGTACAATCAACTTGTAAAAGTGCATGTACCATTATATGACCCCTTTAATTATCCTTGTTTGCATGTGTACCAAAGTTCCTGTTTCTGTTCATTGCTGTGTTGTCTCGTCTGTGTCTAGATGTGTTTTAATGCTGCTCTCTTTGTGCTGCTTTATGCTATACGTCACGTGTGGATTTATTAAAGACTGGCTTTCATCTTCATCTTTGTGTTTGTGTACTTTCTACAACATCAGAGCTGAGGGAAGCCCGTTTGACCAGGTGTGCGAGTGGCTGTACCATCCATTGACGCGGGAGTCCCAGTGGAGTTCGAGGGGATGGGAGCGAGCCGCCACTGAGAGTCTGGGCCGGATTATCCAATGGGCATTATGGGCACGGGGCCAGGGGCCAATGCGAACTTGGGGCGCAAGCAGGGGGAAGAAAACAATTTTTTTCCCTTTTATATTTCTAATAATGGAGTGGCTCTAAGTGTAAATAGTTTTTTTGGCTAAAAGACACAGTCCACTTAATGTCTGCTGTGGAGGATGCCGTAGGGAGTGTGGCACCTGCATGTAGCCTTTGACACATTTGACCAGAGTTCGAAATCGCCTTTTGCCCATCACATATCTGATCAGAAAGGTATTTATTTTCAATAAAAATTAAGAAAATATTTGAAAAATGGAAATAAAGTGCCCAACGACTGTTTATTAATAAAATGTTTATCGGTTAGGGTTGGTGTAGAGGGCTTTATTGTCCCAATAATTTTATTAAATATAGTCCTTTAAACTGTAAGACTGGAAGAACTGTAAGAGAGGGCTACTCTCTGAGAAAACAAAGCAAATTGCCATTTGAACTCACTCTTGTGCACCATTCGAGACGCAAGTCTCACCTCAGAATCATTCTAATCTGCATCTCTTTCCCTCTACCCTCACTCTCTCTCTCTCTCATGCTGAGATCACCTAAAATTCATCCAAAATATATATGGTTTTAATGTGAACAATTATCATACTGTTTCATACATGTTTGGTATCATTTGAAATGTCTCAGTGCGACTGGTACAAATGTCTCATTTCCAAAGAAGTAAACCAAAAGTATATTATCTTGAAGAAATATCTTGCATACAGAAGGGTGTGACTTTCAGGCACATGTTCCTCTGCTCTCAGAAGGTGTAACCTCTAAATGCAAATTTCCATTGTTAGCACATGTTTCCATGTGAAAGAGGTTCTGTCTATATAAAGAAATGCAGCAAAAGGATCGGGGCCTTCTGTATCTCAGATCAGCCCGTGAATGTTGAGAGCCACCGGGACTCTCAGCTTCATGTATTTCCTAATGTCGGGTTCGCATCTCGTCTCTATATTGCAGAGCATTTGATGTTATTGTATTGATTATATTTGAACTGATTATGAAATTGGCATGATACATTTACCTGACTTAATAAATTGTTACATTTGATTATTCTAATTGACTTTGACAGTGTTTTCATTCAAGAGTTTAAAAAGAATAGTCAAACATTCGCTCACATTTAATGATGCACGGATATCATTAAATCTTTTAATTTATGGAGTCAGATGAAATAACAAGAAAATACATATGAGAAATGCATTTGATTTAATCAAAATTACTTTGCCACACGGAAAGACATTAACACGCAGAGACCTTCCCCGCCGATCGGATGCCTCCATTGAGCCGATCCAGCCGGGCCTTACAACACTCTGTTATCACTGCATCCTGTTAATGTTCAAAATACTGAGGTTATTGTTATTGATCAAAATAGAGTAGATCAACTTTTGAAAGTAAATAAAAATGTAATCAATTACATCGTTACGCCAGTAGGTGGCGACAAGTGACTGTTTTTGTATTTGTCATTGAATCATTCATTAAAATCACTGATTCACCCAGTAATGAAACAAGTGATGTCTTTATGAGTGAGTTATTGAATCATTTATTCAAATGAATTAAAGATTTTTTTAATGGACTGCAGCAACTAACATTTTGTCAGAACCTCTAGTAAATATATTACATATTGTTTAGCTGTCTCTTCAGAATCGTGCTGAATTGTAATCTCGGTTTTAAACTAACAAAAAATTGTGCAGCTCATTGAGTAAAAATAGCATCATAACCTCATACTATGAAACAGGTTGTGAGAAGGAGGGGAAGACCAACTCATTGATACTCTTTAAATTCTGTTTGGAAAAATAGAATCAGCAGTCCTCAAAACAAAAAAAGTATATAAAATAATAAACATCACATTTCAACCCTTTTAACCATTATTTGAGAAAATGGATGAGTCAATATTATTATATATTATAATAACAATTTTTATCCAAATTCTTGTGATTTTTTAGAATGCATATTAGCTTCCCTCTCCCGAAAAACTAGATTTTCAAAGCACTAAACTGACACTATAGGTCATCATCCAAAACACAGTTTTCTTTAACCTGAGGACAAATATATTTAAAAAGTTTGTGTGGCCTGTTAAATTGTGCATGCACCACATATGCAGATTCTTACACAGTGTATCTTTCATTTATCTAAAATCGCACAGGTGATTATCCACAAGCAGAGATATTGTGTTTGTGCAACACACAATTCATAAATGTTGTTCACTGACCTTTCATGTCCCCATCTTGATACTGAAGAAAACAAAGTTGTTTGGACGAAACATAAAATGTGTTTAATGATATCATTAATACATTTCTAGAATATTTTATATTTAATACATCTGAAAAGGAATTGAAAGTGATTAAAAAAAAATGAATAC